TTTCCATATAGGGCATGTTCAGTCGCCACCCGTTGGCAAGACTCCGTCTCGCTTGAAGATATTGCATCGATCGACAGCCTGCTGCTCGGTGATGGCCCGGTCCTCCAGCTGATTCGCGAGTGTCTTGCTGACATCGATGTCCTTGCCAGCACAATTAAGGCGTACGGACAGCTAGGATCTGGAGAAGCCGAGCGTCCTTGCTCTGCAGGATCTGCTTGTCTTTCCCAGTCTGGCCGAAAAGATGCAAACGGATGCCATGGATATTAAGAGCTACATACCCGGCCTCCAGCTTCTTCACCACGGACCACGTAATATGCTTTACACCGTCCTTCCCCGGGCGAGTGTTCTTCTTCACGGAGTAGGCCTGCGTGGCCACAAAACTAGACACATTCGAGAAGAACAGCACACAGACGACCATGCCTTAGCCTTTGCATTGGGTCGGCCCTGCAACAGAAACGGATCAGCGGCGAGGAAATCAGGTTCGAAACGGGCCTGCCTTGACCTTTGCTGCTGCAGCGGCTCGTGCCTGAGCTGCAAGCTTCTGTTGCTTTTGAATATGAACGGCCTCCGGCGGCTTGAGGTCCAGCAGCCACTCAATTTCCTGAAATTTAGGGTTTATAGGGTTGAAGATGGAGGGTACGTTCAGGGTTTAGGGTTTGGAGTATATATATATATATACATATATATGCGGGCGAGCGGCATCAGCAGACTCGGGCCTGGGAACATAGGCCACAGCATCGGCTGTTGCAGCCGCCCGGGCAGCTTCCGGAGCCACTGGCAGNNCCGGAGCCTCACCATGAGCAGCAACAAGCTGCTCCCCAGGACCAGCATCCGGAGCAGGCTCCTGCAGGGTGCAGTCATATTATAAATTAAGGTAAACAGCAGAGCACATCCTGCAACCCTCGGCCTCGTCGGAGTCTTCAATCTGAACTTGTTTGTCCTGCAGATCCAAAAGCACGGCCTTTCTCTTGGCCCGTAGCTTTTCCTCAATCGACTCCGGTTGCTGTATTCCCCAGGCATCCATTATCTCACCGGATTCGCCACGTTCGGCGGCGGCGTCGTCCTCCGGGACGGCGGCGGCTTCTTGCGAGTCCTCCCCAACAGCATCGTCGATGATCTGGAGCATCTCCAAAATTCTAGGATAGTTGTTGGCCCGACTGGGCCACTTTCTCTCGACTTGCTTGCCTATATACCGCCAGCTGCGGCGAGTCCTCCGAACCGACTGCAGCAGCACCTTGACGTCTTGAGCCAGAACAACCACCAGTTCCACTTGCAGGTTCTTGACCCATCCCCTGAGGATCGAGTACATCAGGTGTTCCAGCCTGGATTGCAGATCGCCACGGATGAGGGTTTGGGATTGATAGAGAAGGACCCAATTCAAGACGTTAGGGGTTTAGGGGAAGTTTCGGGCTGGGTTAACGGAGTGGGACCCCATTCAAAACCCGATGCCGAGTCACGTCTCCGGAGCCAAAGGATGGCTCGGAGATGCTTTGAGCAAGGGCAGCAGCACCCAGCTCGCTTTGTCGATGGCACTCAATCCTGCATGCTGAGGTGACTTCTGGTGACTGTTCAAGTCTTTCGGTACCCCGACCGACTCGAAGATGTCCCGAGGGTTCTTGACCTCAAGAACGTGGTCCGGGACCACGATGCTATCGACCACGACTTGCCGTTCCTCCGGCGTCAGTCGCACTTCGGTCATATCCTTCGGACGTCCTCGACTGCTCGACATGGCAAAAGTGGGGCCGGTCACGGCACCCTTCACGGCACCCTTGGAGGGGCCGACCTATCCTGTTGTTGGGTTTGAGAGGATGAGTCCTCAATTTAAAATGGTTGATGGCAAAGTTTAGGGTTGAGGATTTTCGGGTTTAAGGTTTAGAGTTTAGATTACAGTTCAGGCTTTAGGGTTTAGGATATTTGTTTTTGGAAAATCTATAAGGGTTTAAGATTTGGAGTTTAGGGTTAGGGGGGTCCAAGGGAAGGGTTTGCAGTGATTGAGGGTTTATATAGGTTTCGGGTGTAGGGCTTCAGGGTATAATTAGTAGCTGCCACAGGGGGCCGTTCACAGGTGTGATGGATATGAGTGTGTTTTTTCGACATGGATGTGTTATGTCCTGCGTCTGATCCATCGGACAGTGGATTGCGTGCAGATCGTGGCACATAGAGCTATTCGGGAACAGCAACATCGTGACCGGCCTGCTTGCAGAAGACGGCGTTTGCGACTCCCCATAGCCCTGGCAAGCAAAGACATGGCTCGTACGTAACCC